AGGCCCATGACGTAGCAGCCCTAACAGCCCATCTCATCACACACTACAGATGTAGCACGAAGCCATCAAGGTACCCGAGCACGTGAAGCGGCAGGCAACGGGCGGTCGCAGCTAGCTGAAGCTTTGCACAACATGTCAAAAGCTGTGCGATGTGACGCATATGCACGTTACATTGATCAGGTTTGCAAAGAAAGAAATTAAATTGCGCGGGTATCTAGTGTCATCTGTGTTACGTAGCATCGACCAGCCAGTCGGGATCTGCGTCTTCGTCTTCGGGGTCTTCCATCATGAGTGAACCGGTCTCTGATGGAGATGAGGAGGGTGGAGAAGGCATTTCGGCGTCGGTGTTGGGGTTCGATATGAGCTTGGATTCCTCATCTCGCTCCATAGACCTCTTCTTTGCTTGTTCTTCTGCGCTTGTTTCATTTGTACCTGGCACTTCTTCGGGTATGAAACCTCCCGCGTCATCTGCAGGGCCATCAAGCGGTGCGGTTCCGCCCTCCGATTTGACAGCATTTCCAGACGGGCCGGCCTCATCTGAGCCATCACGGACGAAGCCTCCGCCTTCTTCTTCATCCTCGGAAGAGTAGATCTGACCAAAGCTACTTCTACGCCGAGGGAGCAACTGCTGTGAGTCTAGGATTGAGCTTTCAAAGCTTTGATGTCGATTCAAACTGATGGGTGCTGCACGATCGCTCTCATCTGGTATGAAACCACCGCCACCATCACCATCATCGTCATTGTCCGGCAGGAACCCGCCGACTCCGTAATCCTGCTCTGGTGGTTGGTAGCCACGAGCTGACGGTTCGGCGATATCTCCTTCGTCGGGGAAGAAGCCTCCTGCCATCTCCTGTGCCGCCAGCTCTTTGTCTTCTTTGCTGATCTCCTCTTGCACGTCGATAGCCGGGCCTCTTTCGCCATCAATCTCAATGGCATTGACCCGTTGTGCAATACGTAGACCGAGGAAGAAGCGTCGCCAAAGTCGTAGGGATTCAATCCTGCGCGCTTCGGCCTCAGCTTCTTCCTGCTGGTGCTCCATGCCGTCAATGACCGCTTGCACAGCATCTGCATACTCCTGGGCGACTACAACACCTTGGATGATTGCAGTACCATGGCGACCCTTGAAGGAAAAGCCAGTCACTGCATCTGCAAAGTCTACACCGACGATACGCGCTGCTTTCGACGCGAGCTTGTGTCGGATATGCGTACCACCAGGCGGACACATGGATGGGACGTAGAGGTCAAGGTTCCCGTAGGCATTGCGCGGCACGCGACCTCGGACAACTGGAGGAGGGACATAGAGCTCGGTCTGGAACTCTGCGAAGAGACCAGCCCCAACTTCATCAGCTTCTTCATCGACATCCATATCTGCGCCGATTGAAGGTCTCCTTCCCTTCTTGGGCTTCGCACGCTTGAGTGGCTGTTCGCCGACTTTCACGTCTCGACCCATGCGATACCATTTGTCCGCTGTCCGGACCAAATGTACGTTTGTGCGACGGTAGATAGGTTCCATCTTAGGATTCATAGCGCTACCACAGTTGACTTTGCCGACCACGTTCAGGGGGTGTATCACCTCATTATGCTTGAGATGTCGCTCGAGAACATAGACTGGATGGCCTCTGAAATCTTGCACGTTCTTTGGAATGCCTTCCGCTGCTTCCTTGCGGGCCAAAGTCGCGTCTTCCATTTGGTCTCTGTCAAGAGTGGTTCTACGCTCGAAGAAGCTCATCGTACGGCGCCACCATCTGTTTCCATCAGGAGTACTTTCGACGCGGTATTTCCGCGTCTTGGCATTGTACGCTTTCGCGTATCTTCGTGTGACGTCCTTGGCGGTATAATCTTCATCAAACGCTATCGCATAGGAAAGACTGTTCTGGGAGAAGCTAAGGGGCGGCTCTAGCTTCTCAGGCGAATTGACAGTAAACGTTGAGTGTGTATCGATTGGTACCCACTTCTGGTACGAAGGATTAAGCACTTCGACCCAGTATACTGGATACGGCGTATGGTAGGCTTTCTGCTTCTTAGGCGTTACACCTGTTTTATTGAGGACGGCATGTCGCTCCCCCATCACACGTTCAAGTCTCGAGAGCTTCTTGTTACGAGGACCTTGCGACTTGGGTTTTGTCGGGCTTGGCTCTGCCGGCTTATTGTACGGGTCGATGACTATGGTGTTCTTCTGAGCGCTCGGCTTTTGCGGCGTCGCTCGCTCGGCTGCAGAAGAAAAAGGCAGCGGTTGTAACGAACATACTAGTCTGACCTCAATCCCAATGCCGCGGAGAAGGGCACAAAACAACTGCGTCCCTACATCTTGTGAGCCCTGTAAAGTGTGTGCCGCGGTACGAAACTCGTCCTTGTCCATCGGGTCATCAAGGTCGTCAAAGTCTGAGAACGGCCGGATAACAGCTTCGGCTTCGGCCCATCTAGGCTTGTACATGCCTTGAGCCGTGATTCTGAACCGCTTCGACCACAGCACCTTGAGCTCGTTCATGCCATCTATGAAGTGTTTCGAGGCCGAGTACTGTGACAGGTCGGGATTTGGTACCAGGTTAGACAAGGTTTTGGAAGGCACAATCTTGCGTAGTGTGCTCTGCACTCTCCTGTCGTTACACCAGGCATTTCTGCGATGGACATGGTAGAGCAGACAAAGAATGTGCATCTTATGTATATCGACGCGTCGCTTCTTTTCGACCGATGTTATCGCCCGCCGGCGTACCTTTCTCCTGGTCCCCGTGTCCTCCGTCTTCTTGACTCCCATGGTGATAGATATGTCGCCAATCTGGGGCGCAGCTTCGACACCTTCGTCAGGGTCGTCGGTATCGTCGCCGTCAGCAAGCGCGTCTTCCCACTCCATATCGCTGTCATCTGACTCGTCCGAGTCGATGATGGTCTGTCGCACTCGTTCGCTCGCGTGTGGCTCTTCATTGATGGTAGATTGAGCTGGAGCAGTGGGCCGCGATCGCGTGTGCGACGGCATCTGGGACTGTGATGGCGCATCTTTGGATTGCGATGACGCAGGAGATGATGATTCGGGAGCACCGGTAATCGATCCCTGCTGTCGTACTGGTTCAGTGTGGTGCTCAGGGCTTTTTTGTCTTCCTGGAGGCGCCGTCTTTCTTTTCTTGAGCGGGGGTTCCTTCTCGTCTGCGCTGGTGGGTTTTGACGTCTGCTCTTCGCGCAGCATTTCCTGGAAAACGGCTGGCACACCCTCATCCTCCTGCGCCTTCTTTGCGCTCCGTGTCGATCGCCTCGGAGTAGCCGTTTCCGCGGGCTTTCGCGACCTTCCTCGCGCGCCTGCCATGCTTACTGTCACCTGTAGAGTCGGCGTGATGAGTGTGGATGCGAAGGCTGTGATATTTGCGGTCGAGAGCTACACAGCGCAACAACACTAGTCATGGCTACGACAAGCGGAGATACGGATGCATGCAGTCCTGGCCGTTTGTGGGCGTATTGCCTTGCTGCGGTTCGGCATTGGAGCGGATGAATGCCAACTCTGATGACGCAATCTTTGAAAAGCGCGCTATCACGTGTTGGGCCAAGCTCACGCGTCTGCTTCTGTGCACCACATACCCCACCAGAATCAGTGCTTGAATTACATAGTCGTCAATTTTGGTCCACACGCAGCTAACGCCACGATTTGAGACGAATGCGCGCCCCACATGTCCATTGCGGCTCCCATGTGTCGTGCCCACCACTTCAACAGACAGATCGGTTGGTCGTGATGGACCATGTATCGCACTTATGCAACCTGATACCAAAATGATCCTATAAACTAAAGGTACTCGGTGAACTCAACACTTACCTCATCAAAGCCAGATACAACGACTACCTGCAGACTGGTTTACTTGAGTGCAACTCAGAAGCAATAAGCTTCGTCGTACAGGCCGGCGTGCTCTTTGAGACTGGTACCCGAGCGCCACGAAGGTTACTACCATATAAAACCGGTAGCCTATCGTTCTTACCCAGGTCGGTATCGCTTGTGCGCCTTGTGGAAAGTGTACCACAGGTGTCAGTATGATTGTGGGTATCAGCAGTCTACCGCTACTCAGGGTTATGATCATTCTCAAAGAAGCTTGATACAGAAGTCGGTAGAAGAACGAAGTATGTTGGTCATAGAGGTGTCTGGTATTGGCAGCGTCCATGTTTATGAGTACTACAACGTCGTGGCTACCCTCTATATCACACCTTTGCCCCTACCACATTCAGGAAGACACGATTGCCAAGTGCCTACTGTCTTTCCACCTCTGGTTTGCATCTCTGAACAACACTATCAACGCCAACATCAACATTAGTATTAACACCAGGATCACAATCTATCATTACGAGAACTACTTGTCATGGAGATGTCCATGGTTACCGCTGTAAGTGGGCGTACTCTCCGCACCCGTCTCCAAGGAATCTATCCTACGGACAGTCAAGATCAGACAACAACATCACCTGCGCCCAATCCGCATGAGGACGAGTACCCGGTACGAACACCATATACCAACTCTTCGTATTCTCGGGCTGAAGAGCCGGAGCCTGTTACCTTCCCAACCAACGGGGTTCAATACATGAATCAAGCGTCAGGGTCAAGACCAGAGAACACAGCTTCTTCACATACAGAGTCCCAGCCTTGGCATCTAGCACCATCTAGAATACGCTTTTGTAGTCCCTCATCTTCGGATAGTGAGATCGCTGCGACACCGCTGAACCTTGATGGAGCGCCAGATCTAGCATCCCAATCAGAAGCACCAAACCCACCGTGGGGAAATTGTCCTTTCCCCCACGTACAAACCAAGGAATATATAGAGAATCCAGCACCAGTAGCTGAACCTGATCCGACGCCAATGCCTGTTCCACGGGCCAAGTCACATCATCGACCGCTTTGGGCAGTTTCCAGTTGCTGCTTAGCACGCCGAACCCATTCACCTCCAGCGACGACCCATAGCGAAGATGATCAAATTTCTATCAAGACAGAGAGGGACTCTAGTTTCGATGAACCACATGACCATCATAACACTATGGGTACTTGCTGCTCGGAGTTGCATCACTCAAGTGTGGACTCCTCGCTAAAAAATCTAGGGGAAACCACGATTTCTGGCGAACATGATGACCCTGAGCTCGGTCCTCCGAACTTCGAGCGTGTCGTTCTCCGAATCGATGGCCTCAAGTGTGGATGTTGTGAGTCGGGTCTTTCACGAATCGTTGAACGCGTCCCGAATATCAAGAACTTTCAGCTGAACACTGTACTTGCTCGAGTTGAGTTAGAGCTGGATACCAATCGTCTCTCGGTTAGCAAAGTTATCAAGATGCTAGAAACCAGGACCGGATACAGATTCGAGGAGCAGATGGTATCCGACGGTCAAGTCTTGGAGGTCATCGTCACCGACCCTAGGCGCATGCAGCACGCCGGTCGACCAGATGGTGTCATACGCCTTAAAGTCCCTGAACGAGCGCCGTGGCGTCCTTTCGCTGTGCTAAGTGGGCGCACCAGCACAACTCTGAAGGAAACGACCACAGACGACGCCGATGGAGATTGCGAAATTCCAAAGATCCGCGTACCACCGACCAAGATATACTACGATGCAACCATAATAGGGGCCCGAGATGTTCTCAGGCACTATCGTCAATTTGACCCAGATCTACGCCTGGCGCCTATGGCTGCAGACCCGGGGCTTGATTTAGGAGCAAAGCAGACCATAAGAGCCCTGAAATGGTTTTTGCTGTCACTCATCTTCACGATCCCCGTCCTCGTATTCGCCTGGACACCTGTCGGGAGACGCTCTAGAGGTCCTCCCAACTCAATCTATCTCCCCGGTTTACACACCTCCCTAGCACTCGCCACTGTAGTGCAGATCATCGCCTTGAAAGAGTTTTTCCCAGGCGCAATGCGGTCACTTTACCACTCTCGCGTCTTCGAGATGGACTTCCTGATCGCGTTCAGTACGACAATGGCCTACAGCTTTAGCGTCGCTTCTTACATCTTCCAAGTCAGAGGCAAGCCACTAGAGACGGGGTCGTTCTTCGAGACGTCTACTCTCCTGGTAACACTGATCTTGCTGGGTCGTGTTAGTGGCATATCTACTTACATATAAGACGAAAGCTGACGCCTGTCTTCAGGCCATCAACGAGTTCGCCCGTTTTCGCGCCGCAAAGTCGGTATCGTTCCGATCTCTTCAGGTTGACGAGGTGAGTCCAGAGCGTTCGAGACACAGGTGACACGAGCGCTGATTCTGCTCCTCACTTCTGCAGGTCACGCTTATTGCCCATCCGGAGGAGTCCAACTCTTGGTCCAACGCCCCGACAACCAAGATTGACACTCGGCTACTCCAATACGGTGACTTCTTCACGATACCGCCTCATACCATGGTAGCCACGGATGGTGTTGTTGTGTATGGAGGCTCCAATGTCGACGAGTCCATGATAACTGGCGAATTCAAACCCAATGCGAAAGGCCTGGACTCCGAAGTCTTTGCCGGCACCAACAACGGGGATAGGTTCCTGGTGGCGAGGCTGACAAAGCTCCCTCACGAGAACTCTGTGCAGCGAATCGCAGCTTTGGTGGAAGACGCAGAATTGACAAAGCCGGGAGCACAAGCACTTGCGGACCAGATCGCTGGTTGGTTTGTGCCTGTAATGGCCTCAATCGGGCTCACAGTCTTTCTCATCTGGCTCTTCGTCGACAAGTACCACAACAAGAAGGATTGGCGGAGTGCGGTACTGTCAGCGATTACCTATGCTATTGCTACATTAATTGTGTCGTGTCCTTGCGCTATCGGGCTCGCTGTGCCTATGGTTGTACTCATCGCGAGCGGAGTAGCGGCACGATATGGTATCATCTTCAGAGATCCACAGAAGCTCGAGATCGCGCGCAATGTTACGGATGTCATCTTTGACAAAACCGGAACTATAACTACCGGAACGCTCAAGGTCGTTAATGTTCCCAGGTACCGTCATACAGATCACGCTCATACAAAGGGCCTGCTGATGGGCCTCTTGAAGGACATCAAGCACCCTGTGTCTATGGGGATCTCGAGCTGGCTGGCACAAGATAGGCTTGTCCACAAAGACTTCCAACCTCTGGAAGTCACAAACATTATCAGTGTTCCCGGTCAAGGAGTCCAAGGCACATGCGCGAAGACAGGAGTTGAGATCCGGGCCGGGAACGCCGAGTGGCTGGATATTAACGTGATGGGACCAGAGACCAATACGATGTGCTACTACACGTATGGCGGAGATCTTCGCGCCAGCTTCGAGCTGATGGACCACCCTCGCCCAGGAGCGGAAATGGTAATTCAGAAACTGCTAGCCCGAGGGGTCAAAGTGCACATGCTGAGTGGCGACACTGCCGGCGCCGTTACTAGCATTGCCAACAGGCTCTACATCCCTGAGGGAAACACCAAGGCATGTTGCAAGCCGGAAGGCAAGATAAACTACGTACGCGACCTCCAAACACCCGGAAAAGTCGTCATGTTCGTGGGTGACGGGACGAATGACTCTGTGGCGCTCAAGCAGGCGCATGTCGGAGTCCATCTCAACCAAGGCTCAGACATCGCAAAGAGCGCGGCTGATGTAGTCCTTATGACCACACGTCTCCACGATATTCTGATCCTACTCGACATTTCCTTCGCTGCATACCGACGTATACTTCTGAACTTCAGCTGGTCGGCCTTGTACAATGTAGCCGTCATCCTCCTGGCAGCCGGCGCGCTCGTCAAGGTAGGCGACCAAATCAGGATCAAACCGCAGTGGGCTGGGCTGGGTGAGCTCGTCAGCGTCTTGCCCGTTGTCTTGATTGCATTCCAGATGCGATGGCGGGACTATGGCAAGAATTACAGGATGATCGAGGCGGAGTATCAGAAGGTCGAGGCGCCGAGGCGAGAGCGTCGTATACGTACGCGTGGTAGCTCTTCGGCTGATGGTACTGGGTGCTGTGAGATCCCAACGACGAGGTTGGCGCAGGTTGATGCTTTTACGAGGAGGAATGACAGGAGCAGGCTTCGGAAGTTTCTTCTGGGGAGTGCGTCATGAGGATGTTTTCTTGATGTATTTGTATTTTGCTTTTTGCGGCATTATGAGCATAGCGTAGAATGGACTGGCACCAAGTCTTTCTCCACCAAGCGTATTCTTGATGAGCTGTGGTTCTCACAATTAGAACCCAACCTAAAGGCAGACCTTGCTACTAACTCTATTAGTTGCAACCTGTACAACTATGTATCTGGGAAACGAATCCGTAAAAACAGGTAAAGTTAGATTATACGAGCTTCTTCCCAATCTCACGTCTTCTCCCAACGCTTCTTTTCCCGCACCACTTTTGAGACGCTCGTTCTCCCTTCGTAGTCAGTTGTGCCGTTGCAACAGGTCGTTTGTTACGTTCGCTCAATGGAGGTGAATCTTAACGACATGGTCTTCCCAATTTGGTGGAACGCCTTCTCCATCCATCAAGCCATGCACATATGTATCTCCAACGAGTGTGTAGTGGCCTTGGGACGCATTCAGGACCGGCCGCAGGCAGAGTGGTACGTTCGATCCCAGCAATATAGCGATCGAGTCATCAGGAAGCATTTCCGGTGGCCCTAGCCCCATGCGGCCGTCCTCTGTGATGAAGAATCTTCGATAAGCGCTATTCATATCACAAGATCGGAGAAAGCCACGGATATGATCATCGTCGCTCTCATACCGCGTATTTCTGATCTCTTTGTTCTCCGCTCGAGCTTTAAGCCAGCTCCAAAACGCTCTACTGAGACAAGCCACATCTATGTCTCCGAGCCTCTTGAAGATGTTTCCTGAGTGCTCAGGCCGATGCCAAATATCCCTTGTAAAAGATGACCACATCCAACAATCCTGAGCCATTGTTCTCAAGAACCACTCTTCTTGTGTTTGTCTCCGTGAATGGGGAAGGTGTATTTCCTCTCCAAGCCCAACCATACGATAACATATCTTGACATTCTCGACATAGGCCTTCGGACTAGTATCAGGACTGGAAAGAATCGGACTGACTCGGGAAATTCTAAGCTTTGGTTCAAAGCCGTCAACCATGAGAATATCGTCTCGCCTTTCGACGTTGACCCCGCAGCGACCGTCTGCGGAGAACAGTAAGGAGCAACCGTCTCTAACTCTTGCAGCCTGAGTGTGATCCGGGGTCCTTACGCTTCTCTCAGTAACCCAGGAGGGTACTCCTGGTATTCCGGATATGGTGGTGCCCATCAGAAATCCCAATGAGCCGCCAGTCTCAATGTCGTGGAGGATTGCTTGCATGAATACTTCTTTCGGCGACATGTTGTAGTCAGGGGCTACGGGAGATGCGCCTCGCCAATCATCTACTAGCCCGAGTATCCCAAAGACCTTGTCCCGAATATCCACCGCATCGCGCAGATGTGTTTGACGCATGATCTGACGCAAGCTCAATTTCCGGCCTCGATTTTTCATCTCCTTCATCATTCCTGCACCGCTGTGCATATTGGATAACAACTGATCTATGATCTCGACGTCACTGTATGGTAGCGATGACTTCAGCTCCTCACAGCAGTATTTGTCATGACGATCTGACAGTTCAACTGCATCTGTAACTACCTTCCACGGGACAGTGATGTTGCAGTAAACCACAGTGGCCTCACGAGCAAGAACTGTCTCTTGAACGACCCAGATCCTTGTCCACCAAGGGTTAGAGAGTAACGTGTTCCCAGCTCGAACAACCGCCGGCCATTTGTGCTTGGGGATCAATTTGCGCTCTTTCACGTCAAAGAACGGCACTTCGGATAGATGTATATCCATAGCACGGGTCCCCAGATAGACGAAGAGTCCGAGTGCGTCTTCTGTCTCTTCATCTGGCTGGTGTTCTAGGTCATCTTTCTCGAAGTAAGATTCTAGAACTTTCATGTCTGTGCCGTCTTTGAACCAGTGGATGATATCTGGTCGTGCTACAGGAGCTTGCGATTCACGTCCATAACCCAGCCAGATGAAGACTTCCTGAGCAGAACTGTATATCTCGCCCATAAGCTGCACCTGTTGAGATCGCTCGTTTACATCCGACTGGTTGATGCACGCTGCATCCGCGTAGATAATCAAAGTTTCATCCGTCTTTCGCAGTCTCTGGAGCCCGTTGCATAAGTTTCGTGTAATGGCCAACGGTTCGCCATCGATAGTGATCGGCAATGTAATATTCGGATCACCCCACACATATGAGATGGCGTTAAACTTTGGATTGTCGTTGAGTGAGACCGTCTCCAGGTGGCATTTGACGTCGTCGTTCCAGGCACCTGAGTGAACATGAAGTAGGCGTATCTCTTTCCGGGTGGCGTCGAGTGGGGAATACATATTCCGTACAGCGCTTCACAGTAGTTCGCGAGAGCGTGCATGAGGTTAATGTCACTGTGCCGGTAGGCTGATGAATGCATTTCAGCTGGCAAGGTTGTCTGCAGGTTGCACGTGATTAAAGCGAACCAATCGCGCGGAATACCTACTGGGGCTGTGCTGGATATTCAGCTGAACAGAAAGCGCACATTCATCAATTCAATGTAGCAGAACAAAGGTGTATATTCCGTAGCCGTCATAAACGTCATCGTTATATAGCCGTACGGCCAAAACCATCATGTGATCTTCTTCATACATCTTTGATCTTGCTCAATCATCATTCAAACAGCTGGCTACCATAAAGGAAAAGGTCATCATCATAATATATGAGAGCAATTTCGTAGAGGAGAACAAAGTGCCAACCCAGGATCAAGGACAAGTGTTGCCGATCCGAAAAGCAATAAGAGGAATAGGTTTTCGCTAAAACGCTTCAATGCCGTCGCTATGCAGCCCCGCCGGGTAAGAAGAGGAAGAGGGAAACGAAAGGGGCCGGGGTATGGTAGTCGTTACATATCCCAGACTGTTCGATAACGAGATGGAAAGCAGGTAGCCGGTCCCAAAAGAGATATAACATCATGGGTCGTCGGCCAGGCCGTAAAGGGTTCGTGAAGGATGCAGGTTCGTAGGAATCGTGGTATCGCTGAGCTTGGGCTCTTCAAATCTTTTGGTTCGATGCGCTCGTCGTTATGTTTTGGTGTGTCGTTGTTGCTTGGTACCGGTTTTTATACCGTAGAAAGTGTAGTCTATCAATATGTTCTTACACTCTATATCCCGCCTCTTGAAGACAACCCGAGCATCTCTCGTAAGCACGGACATAACCACGGCCGCAATAGCATGCCGAGGTTCCCGAAGGGGCCACAGAGGCTTTGCTAGGTCGTCTGCCTCCTGCCGCAGCCGCCTGTGCGGCATCGAGACCGCAATCAGAGTTCCTTGGGCTGGTGTTGCCACTGGTGGTACTGGAGCTGTCGTAATCGTTGGATGAGGAAGTGTTCCGTCGGCCTGCTCCTATCGGTGTTGGCAGTCCCTGGGCACCCTGGCCGGGCCGTTGTCCTGGGTACATTCCATCGTTTACCGAAAAGTTGCGGCAGATCATGTAGGCTCGAGTGGCGGCGGCGTTCTTGGCTAGCTCTTCGCTCTCGTACTCCACGTCAGTCGAGTACTCTCGGTTGTTCACTCTGACGGTTGAACCATAACCATAGCGTGTTCGGTAGGTTTGGAAAAGTGGGTCGGGCCAGTGGCGCCTTTGGCATAGGCCTATACCCGAGAGTCAGCAACCAGTTCGCTCGTCAGTCTGCTACCATGCAGCAATTTCGTGGATGACATGTTTTCCGGGTCCCTATCGTGTGGGTCTTCTACACTAGACAGGGCTGTAACCCATGCGTCTTACGCCAGCGGGTAGCTAGACAAGATCCTCATATGACTTGATTGATATCCGACTATATGGTACCATGTGTCTAAAAAGAAAAAGTGTTCTGTTACTAACCTGTCAGGTACATAACGTAGAACATGTTGATGTGTTCGGATGTGATTATTGACGTGTAATTGAGCGATTGGAACGACTGACGGCGCTTCGAGGGTGAGCTGTCAGTCTGAAAGCAGGACTACTGCTGCGGAGTATATCTGAATTGGCAAGCGTTCGTTGGTGGCGACGATAGTAGGCCGAGAGAAGTGTTCGTGGCAGTGGTTGTACGACAGTTGTTACTTTTAGGGTGTGGTTGACAGTTGCCAATAAAGGATTGACAGCTGTACAAAAGAGATAGAAAGCGTTGATGTATGAAGAGCAAGGAAGAGGGAGCGGCTTGCAGTCAGTCGGACGGGGATGGGGGGAGCATATGTGCCTACTGTGGGATCCAGCAATATATTGCAGCAGGCGAGTGTAGCATGTATCCAAGCGCGTCTCGCCCGCCAGTAAAAACCGAGGGGCAATTGGGCTTGTGGAAATGAATAATCTGCGGGTCTTGTTGCGGCTCTGAATGAGGGAGACCCATAGTATGTGCTGGCGGGCAAGTAGCCAACGGTAGAGGTTCCAGAATTTTAGCTAGCAAGAGACTCAAACCTCAAAAGGTACAGTCTGACCGGTTCGCTCTTGCCACCGTGCTGCGCGCAGTAGCGCTGTAAAAAAACGGCTGGCGATCGGAGACAATTGCTGTAACCCGTTTCCTCAAGGCTGGACATGTCTCGATCGGCATTGTGCATGTTTAGACGCCTGAGAGGGACGCATCAACAACGAGGTGGCCAGCATGCGTCCTAACAGCGCTCTTTGCTCGTATCTCCCGGATGTAATGGGCCCACTAATGCAATATGCAAATGAGGGGAGAACGCAAGTACGTCAGACTCTGCACCCTTTGTCAAGTGTACCGATACCATGAAATCTTGGCGACAGAATGCGTGATACCCGCGGATGATTTTGAGGGGCAGGGTCTGAGAGGGATCAGAGACCAGGCCAAACATGCAGCATAAAAATGGGACTGCTAATCGACTAGGGTACCAACCGCCAGAGTCGCGACTGGAGGGGGGTTGGACACGATTGTGTGACTGCAAGACGATGCAAAGCATAGTGGCTCGAAGCGAGCATGCGTCACAACAGGCATAGCATGGAGCTATCCGGCAGCCCCAGGGGCGAACGCAAGATGGTGATTGATGCGTTCGAGGGTTCGAGGAGATACCTGGGGTTGGTGTTACCAGAAAGCATCAAGCGTCACTGCCAACGCATACATGCAGAAAGCACGGTCCTCGGAATATCGCTACTTGGAAATGCGCCTGCAGCTCAAATGGGAAAGGGTCAACGGCTGTTAGCTGTAAGTTAGCTGTAAGCCGTGTGCATGCAGGCATAAATTGGCTGTTGCGGAGACTGTCTGAGCGCGTTTGCAAACGTAGTGGAGTAGAGCTGGCCAGGCGATGATTGACGAGTGAAGGACTGCTGGAGGGGCCAGGCGTTCCTGCGCAAACGATCCCGGTCCATCGAGAGAGATGAAGAGTTCACAGACCTGGGAGTTCACAGACCTGGGACCCTGGTGGTAAGGCATCAAAGGCTCCACTTGCCCAATGTCAACACGTCGAACATGGCAGGCTGCCAAGCTCAACATGAACAGGTCTGGAGAATTTTTCGACGTTGACACAAAGAGGATCATGCATCGGGCGGCTGCAGAGTGTCCTCGACAATTGACCTGCCGAAGTGGATAGCATCAGGACAAAGGTTGAGGGTGCACAGAGCAAGTCGTCGTGGAGCGGACGCAAAATTCGGATGATTCGATAGGCTGGCGCGGTTCACGACAGGCAGCGGTGCATGGCTAGGTCCCAGGTCCCAGTAACGACCGCTTCTGTCTGGCGCCGATCCAAGATGGTGGTTGATACATGGAGCGGGACGATGGCGCTTGTGAATAGCGGCAACGAAGCGCAAGGAACCGCCACTGGCATAGTAGACAAAGAATAGTGTTTGAAGTCGGGCGAGCGCGTCCACGGCCATCAGAATCTGAGCGGAGATGTCGAACGAGCTTCAGAACTATGTTGCACGCGCGGGAGATCTGTGGATGACGCGAGCGCGCCAGCACGGCCACCCGCCCCAAGCTGCAAAACAGGCGGTGAAGAAGAAGCCAGCGCTGTCAACCATGCGCCCCTCTTTCTGCGCAGTAATCTTTGACACTACGCATTAGCAAGAATCGCATTTCTTTGACTTGTTCGACAGCGCGAGGGCGCCCATCTGGACCGCAGAGTCGTCGCTCCTGGAGGCGTCATGTCGTGGACATGTCGTCTTCGAATCGGCCTGATTCCATCCACGGGCTACTGAAGACCCACATGTTCGAGCCCTTTTCCAACCAAGAGCATACTCACCCTCCTGTTCAGCCTCGCGCGGTAAGACGTGGTGCTACAGCCGGGTGTGTGCAGGGTAATCTAGAGGGGCCGGGTTTCGACGTCCATTACCGATGCTCGATGGGACACGACGCTCCGTCCCGAACCTCCGAATCTGTTATTGCACCTCTCAGGGTCCATTCACATTACACAAATCGAGGTGCGGTGGCCAGTCTTTCACGCTCATGTGTGACGTCCAGCAGGAGATATTCACCGGCATCGGATAGCGGTCTACTCACGACGCAAGAACATGCCTAGTGACCGCTTCATCTCTGTAGTGACCGCTCGTCTCTGTAGTGACCGCTCGTCTCTGTAGTGACCGCTCAGTCTCTCCAGCCAGTGATATTCGAATTCATACTTCAAGCCTGGCTGCGTAGATGCAGCCCACCACGACTACTCGTCATACGCGGGGTCAACGGTCGTGCCCACACCATCTACTGAATACGGCATCTACAAAAAAGCAAATGTAATTAGAGCGTACACAGAAAGTGTACTACGACTCGATCCACCTACACTGTGCAAAGCGTAGGGGAACCGAGGTTGACGTTGACGTTTCATATGGCTCTCCGCCTACCGGAAGTCCGACAGTGAGCGGTAATATAACATCTTGAGCAGCTTCATATATAAGATAACCACTCGTCCAATTATCTCGACTATACAAACGTCTACTGAACTTACATTCAAGCCACAAAAACAATCTATCAAGATGCCTAAGATCGTCCGCCTCACCCTCTTCAAGATCCCCGACCAAGACCTGGTCAAGGAAGCCATCCAGATGTACAACACTCTGGCCCAGGACGCGAAAAAGGTACGTCAAAGCATGACTTGACCGCCCAAGTTCTCTTTCCTGTTCCAGAACTACGTACATACCCGCTGTTAGACGGTCATGGCCAGCACATGTAGAACGTGCCACTCGTGCATAGCGCCCCTGCACGTCGGACCATCTCGTCACCTCGGAACCCCAGATTATTCTAATCGCCCTCGGGCTATTTTCTGCCTCTCGATAAGACGAGGCGGACGATGGCGTCAACCCTCTTGAGCGCGCGGAGCAATGTCCCTGGCGGGTAACCGCTGGGAATATTGCCGCGGCTAGGAGAAATGGGGTGGGGGTGACGAGGCGGCTGCAGCTGCTCGTCGCGCGGAAACAACTCCGCCTCACGACGCACATATGGGACGCCTAGAATATCCCTCACCATGGAACAACGCTAGAGATATACCGACAGCATCCGCGCCGACACTCTCCCGAGGCTGTGCTGTTATCGCAAGAGAGCATGCTAACGTCATGTTTGTACAGGACGGCAAGAACTACATCCAGCTCGCACAGGCCAACGCCACCTACGACGACCAGCGCAGCCAGGGCTACACACTACTCGCCCGTTGCATATTCGAGTCCAAGGAGGACATGGACTTTTATGACAACCAGGATGAGGCACATGCTAAGATCAAGGCGCATTTCAAGCCAAAGGTCAACTCACCGCCGCTGGTCATCTACTCGGACATGTCGTGAGATCTGAGATTGGATATCGATTGATTAATTGATTGTGGCTTAACGCCCTAAGATTGGACATCGAGCACGTAGCGGAAGTCAATGAAAGAGTAATAATCTCAGTTTCATCAGAGTGATTCAGCGTGATGCTGCCGAAGCTTTACCAGGTGGCGCATACCTCATGCTTTCACAGCATATCACAATGGCGTCCAGGAATGACGAAAGAAACCATTGCACGATGCATGCACGTTTACAGAAGATGATTGTGCTGTTTCATTAGGATTATAGGATCTATCTACAGTTCAGTCACTCGATCGTCCTTTGTCTCAACTGACACCTTTTGTTCGGGAAATATGTTGGTTCACGACTTCCTGAACAGCATCGCCTTTGGAGTTGCAGTCTTTGAGGGAGTAATTACTATTGAGATTAGACGCCAGCTACGATTGAAACATTTGATGGACCTGTTCATTGACCAAGGACAGAGCCATGTCCACAAAGCTTAGAACAATGCCTTGGTCGAAAGAACTTCACTTCTTTATCCAGGCCAAAGAAACCAGATCCTACCATTGTTTGAAAACACATTTGTGTCAATCACGAACAACGCATCTCACTACAACTGTAAGTATAACCATCGACTGCCTGTCATCTAATAGCGCTTGGGATTCCATACTATATATTGTCTACTCCTTGACGGTTCCTGGTCAAACAACCACTCCAACCAAAGCTACAACTTCAATCATGGGTGGATGCAAAACTCTTGCTCCCCACATATTGGGAGGATATAGCGACTCGGAGGAGACAGTAGACACACAAGTACCAGAAGAACCAACAGAGCACACCCACGCTCCCGGAGTGATGCCAGAATGGTGGAATTCTACCTCTCCTCTATCATCCCCACCATCCTTACTCTGCTCCCCTACTCCATCCCCTCCACCCACTGCAGTTCGAACACGCGGCAGCCGATCACGCACGCCAGCACCAACACGCAACAGCAAGCCCCGGAAGTGTTTATATGTACCCAAGAAGAAAGACCACTTTGAACATCCCCCAGAAGACACAACGTCGTCTTTCTACTGGCCTGAGGATGCGGAAGGTGACACTGAAGCAGACACTGGAAACGACACTGAAGAAGATACGGAAGACGCGAAAGATGATTCAGAAGGGCTATCATCGCCCGCGCCATCAGCGTCATCAGAATTGGCTGATGAGAATCCGGAATCACCCCCTACATCTCCAATCGTCAAAACCCCGACACCTAAAAAGGACAAGAAAGGGAAAAAGGACAAGGCATCGCCGGTAAAGTCCAAGCCAGCACACAAAACCACGGTAGGCGGCAGGGTCAAGAAGAATAAGACACCGCTAGTAAAGTGCAAGGCAACATATAAGACCCCAAGACAACTCAGGCGCGAGAAAGCGAACACTATAGAGAAAGTGCAGTGCAATGGTCGGACGAAGAAGAACGCCCAGTGCGGGCACCAGAAAACTGTGCCAAAGGGTGAGACGTGGAACTGCGGTCGCCACAAATAAGTAGTGAATCAGGTTGTGTCCAATGGCCTGTTGTAGTGAATCAGATGTACGATAGCTTGTTGTAGTCAGTCAGGTCGAGGTAGCTCATTGTTTGAATCATGTCGTGTACCATAGCTTATTGTTTCAATCATCGTTCTTTGCTCATTGTTCAATCATCGTTCTTTGCAGATTTGCATTCATACTTGAAGTACAACATATGTTCTTCTTCACCTGTCTGATGTCATGCCGAAGCATCGCCTTTTCCAAATTCCCATCCATCGCTAAACCCAAGAGACCATAGCATCCCAACCCAGCCCAGACGCTTTTCGTTCGTAAATCACCCCATGCTAAAAAGTGGAGAGACGCCCGTGGAAACACCGCAAATCTATATGCCGGTGGTATGCAGAATATACAAGAAGATACACGTTATTAAAAGGTGTAGAGGATTGCGTCGACATCGTCCGATCGGGTATCTCGCGTTTACATAATGATCGAAGGAGCTGCAGATGTTAGTGAATGTAGTCAGATAGGTATGAATGATCGCTTACTGTCAACGTTCTGCTTGATGGACTTGTGGGGTAGGACGGAACCACCGTTGACGTAGACCTCGTCGCCAATGGTAACGTCGTCACCGAGAACTGTTATGTTCTCGAGACGCGCCCACTTGCCGACGGTGCTGTTCCAGCCAACAATAGACGACTTGACCCAGGCGTGGTCCTTGACACGGCTGTTCTTGAGCAACACACAGCGTTGCAGACGGACACCGTCGCCAATGACAACATCCGGGCCAATAGTGACATTAGGACCGATGCGGCAGTTCTTGCCAATCTTCGCCGAGGGGTCGATCAGGACGTTGCCGCCGTAGACGTATGGCTCAGAGGCTGGTGTGAGCAGCTTGGCGTTCCTGCGCGCCAGAGATGAGAGGTAGAGACAGGTGCCGGACAAGAAGTCCTTGGGCTGTCCAACGTCCATCCAGAAGCCCTCGAGATCGAATGAGTGCAGCAGGCCGTCCTTGACAATGGCAGGGAAAGTCTCCTGCTCGATCGAGGTAGGGCGGAGCTCAATGCGCTTGAGCACGCTGGTGTTCATAATGTAGATACCGGCGTTGATGCGGTTGCCGACGAACTCGACGGGCTTCTCGACGAAACGGTCAATCTTGGAGGCGTGGCCAGGCTTGTGGACTACGACACCGTACTTGGACGGCTCCTCGACCTTTGTGACGACAATGGTGCCCTCGTCACCGTGCTGCTTGTGGAACTCGGCGAGCTGCTTGAAGGGATAGTCGCATGTGACGTCGGCGTTGAGGACGAAGAAGGGCGAGTCGTCCTTGCCGAGAACGTTCTCAGCGAGCTTGAGGGGACCAGCGGTGCCGAGGGGCTCGGTCTCGACGGAGAATGTGATGGTGACGCCGTATTGCTTCTCGTACTGCGCAGCGGGTTATTGTGTGTTCTGAATCGCAATTGAACGGGTATACTAACGGTCTTGAGCGCCTCGGCCATGATTTCCGGGCGGTAGTTGACCGCGAGGACAACATCTGTGACGCCAGCATCGGCAAGGGCCTCGATCTGGTGCTGGATCATGGGCTTGTTCGCGAACTCGACGAGCGGCTTGGGGTAGGTGAGGGTCTGCGAATGGCGTCAGTTCTGCAATTGCTTTTGGCACCGCGGGGCTTCAGCGAGGGAGACATACAAGAGGCCTCAGACGGGTGCCGAACCCTCCGACGAGAATGATGGCTGCATTGGCTGTTAGCGGCGTGTCTTTGGAGCGCAATTGAGTGCGTACCTTTCATGTTGGCGTGTTGTGTGTGTTGTGTGTTGTGTGAGAAAGTAGAAGTGAGAGTTGTGTCTCGGGAAGGTGCAAGCGAGGGAAGATTATAGGTGCAGTATAAGAAGAAGCAACACCAGAAGTAGCAGTGTGAAAGCGCAGGGCAAAGTCAAGGAGCTCGGTGGTGAGGCCAGCTGTAGGTTATATGGGTTACTTCGCGTCCACAATTAGCGGAGCTAATGCTCCCTGGCTTCTAGCTCCCTGATTTCCCCTTTCTTCACCCACCGCATGCGCAACCCCTCGGCCGCTACCCTCGTTAAACTGTCCTAACGTCCTCAGCCCTTGCAGCCACTGTGGCCAGATGCCCCGTTCCTGATCGCTCAGCCTATCCGCTTCTAATTCTAGCATCGTGTTACTGTGCATCTAGCCAGACTAGCATCGTATAACATGCACTGGCTGCAACCTCATCACGAGGTGGATTGCAAGCACCAGCCCGTTTCATTTCTGGTCACTCTGCCTCAGTTTTATGACCCTCCACCACGTGCCTCCAACGTCGTGAAATTGGAGGCGTCGGACCTTCAGAATCTTTTGATCACGCCTCGGTCCCCACGGCGGTCGGAAGCTATCCGCGCCCCTGGAACCAGCGGGATGTGGCTAGCTGTGGCTGACCGCCGTCTTTCTGGGGACACGACCAAGCTTTATCCGCCTGTCACCGTCAATGCTGGTGCACATGATCATTTTAGATCTGTCCATATCCACGGTACTCCCATTCGGCCCCTCAAAGTCACTTCACGATGTTGTTGCTGCAAGTCAGTGGCTATGCGACGCGCGTCGTATTCCCGTGGCGAGATTGACACACGATCATGCGCCCATGACGCTTACGCAGCGGCGGATACGGTAGATAAAATAGAACACTACTTCTTTCAACCATTCAACATTACTCGCAAGCTATTGCTGTGATGCGTTTCCTTGTTTGAGGGCGACATTGGCTGCCAGCGGGACTCCCCTCGGCCATTACGACCATGAGCGTGGAATACCGAGTACCAGACTCTGTTCCCCCGCATCATCAGATTTCGGTTCCGAGTTGCCATCCGAAAGGTTTTTTTGTATTAACATCATTAATATACTTTGACTACATTTTATGCTAATATCCTATCATACAGTATCCAACAAAAAGCACTCTCAAACTCCCAAGACATCCAGTATATACAAAGAGCAATGCCTCTCATAGCTCAACTCCGCTTGCGGAAGCTCATCGACCTCAGGGCGTCGCCTACGCTACTGCCCCGCTTAAACATACCCGGTCTCTTGCCTGGCCCACCTGTAGGGCTCCGGTCCTCTGGAGAAAGAGACATGTGCGAGGTTCTGTTACCCCCCGTCGGCGACGTGTGCGCCTTGGTCGGTGTCTTGACAGAAGCACCGCCAAACACATACTCCCTGGCGAAGATCCAGTTTCCGCGCTCATACCTCCACAGGTCCAGCCCCACAGCTCTCCCCTCCTGGTTGCTCTCGCTCAGCTCCTGTCTGATCGTCGCAAAGGCCCCGTCAACCTTTTGCTCGTCATCGACTTTGTTCATGACCGTCCAATGAGGTCGGAAGCCACCTGCATCCTGCTCACTGAGGAAGGCGGACCACTGTGACTGCAAATCTCCATGCACGTCTTTCATCTTCTTGTACCCTTCATCCACGTTAATTCCAACGCCCTTGCGCATCCGGAACGGTTTGCCCGTTGATACGTCAAACGGCTTCATACTGGTCGCCGTCTGCGAGAGCCCCTGCTCCAGCGCATCCATATGCGAATGTGGCAACGCATGGAAGAGCGTCAAATGCGCCCCAGTGCGATTCAAGTGCTTCGGAAAATACCGATTCCGCATCTCGTCCATGGGTTTAGCCAGGGAGTCCGTAAGTTTGAGCGTAAGAACGTAGACCTGTTCATCTTGGCTCGCCGTGTTCGGCCTATGCTCCTGCCTAGGGTAATGACCTGAGGGCCGGCTTTCTTCCACAACATAGGGTTCATTATTAGCTTGCTTTGGGCTAGTTTTTCCTTCTTTCTTGGTGCTCCAGCCGCGGAAACTCGTCTTTGCGCGGATGCCGGCTCCAGGTCGTTGGGGTTTCTTGGTCTGCTCTTGCTGCTGCGTTTGCGCTGCCTCAAAGGATGCGCGTAGATCCGGGTCTGAACAGGCTCGGGCTTGGATTTGAGGCTGCCGGACCCCACCGTTGGGCGTGCTGACGGCGGCGGCGTAGGTGACTGCCATTGTGCTGAAACGTGGCGCTGCTGCTGATGTGATACCGTGGAACGGTCCTGGTGCGAGAGATTGACCGAGTTGCCTGAGGACAGCAATCCTCATTGAAAAAGGAATGTGGCTGGTGAGTACTGACTTCCATGTGCAGCCGGCCCCTTGAAGATGTTCTACGGAACTTCGGAAGATCCATACGTCACTGAACGGCCGCTAGTGATGCGCCCGCGCTATGTGGAGATGTCTGTCTGATCAAGTATCGGGTTTAGGGGTCAAACATCCTCGTGACTTTGCGACAGATGTCATTATTGTAGGCTTCCAAATGTGTTTAGCAGTGATTGTGTACATGTGAGTTGTATGTTGAATTGAATATTCATAGCTCGTTATGTTCCTTCGTATTGCGATGATCCACAATTCTAGGTTCTACACAGACCAGCTGTGTGCAGTTGATATCCAATACTCCAACTCCATGTTTTTCGACAGTATCGAGCACCTAAAACGGTGTCTGCTGATGATGAGCCATCTTCCAGCCGCCTGTCGCGCCATCTGTAGGCCCCTCCAGCACCCATACGCTCGAACATATAGCCCTGTACGTCCTGTTGTGTTTTGTCACTTCTATGCGATAATAGATCAGAGCGCTGTCCTTGCCCAATATGACCACTTCATCATGACTGAGTTTGTACGACTTCCAGACCGTGAAAAAAGCGTCTTCCAGCATTGCATGAAGTGGTGGATCGGATACCGATGTGAGGACAAGATCACCCGGAAGGATCCAGACTGGATTGCTCGAGAGAAGCGGGAGGAGTTCAGCGCCAGAACTACAATGGGCCGCCCAGGCTTTGTGTTCGAGCGAGCATATCGCGGCGGTTAACGAAGGGTTGGTAGGCGTAGGGGTCGCCACTGCGGGCTTGGATGTCGCAATTACTCGACTCGATCTTAACAACATGTTCGCAGGACTGTTGCTTCCTATCTATTGTGGATATCGTGATGGTGAGTTGGCCAAGATGCCGGCGCTGAGTTCAAGGCAGAGGCTTACCCCGCGACGCGATTGTGACATCACCTCTAATCGTCGACGTTTGTTTGCAGCTTCTTTGACACTTACCGTTGGCCTAATCGCCCCCGTACTATGCGAATTATTGCAATGCGCTCGCCGACTGTCCATGTTCGCATTATCGCATCTCAACATTGAGTACACTCTGCAGCCAGAGCCCTTTCGATGGGCAAGACTGTGTTGCCACGAAGGCTCGCATGACTGGCGCATAACGATTGCTATCGTTGGACATTCCCACGCGATCCAAAGCGATAGTCGCCACTGAAGACGGCTACTTGCCCGGGCGGGCTCATGCCGGTATATGCGGGGTGGTGCTGCGTGTAAGCGGGTCCGTAATCGCGACGTCGTATCGCGCATCCATGCTCTGTTGACTCTGTTGAACCATGCCGGCCTGAGCGACGCGATAAGTAGCGATGCAGCGTGTAAACTCGGACGGCGATTGTTCAAGGTTTGTCGATGACTGTCCTCGGCCGCAGAGGCGCCGTGTTGAGCACCGCAAAGGCGCAGTTGCCTTGGGTGGCGTCTACGTCACATGTCCGGCGCAAGGTGGTCCAGGCTCCAGACGATAACGGGCGGTGGGCCAGGCGGGGAACTGCGCGGTGTACTCATAGTGAATGATGGCCACGACGGTGTGAGAGACACAATGGAGACACAACGAACGATTAGTCAAGTCCGCCGTGAAGAGACAAGCTGAATAATAGCAAACATCGATAGCAAAGTGAGTGACAGTTGCCTGCCGTGGCGGTGGAAGGTCCCGGAATGTTCCCGGGCGCAGGCGCTGATTGGCGCACGGGCGCTCGCCGCATCATTACTCGCCCTTTGACCCCGTCACTGCCTCAGCCTCTCCCATATAAACCAGCCTCTGCCTGCTTCTCTTCCTCTCTCCTCACACCACTTCTACACATACGCTCTGAAACATTCAGAACACCCAACAACTACCGAATACACACAGCACACCCGCAATCATGCAGATCTTCGTCAAGACCCGTACGTAGTCACCGCCACCGCCATGGCCCGCTTGCGCCTCAGCTGCTAACACCTTCACAGTCACCGGAAAGACCATCACCCTCGAGGTTGAGTCTTCTGACACTATCGACAATGTCAAGAGCAAGATCCAGGACAAGGAGGGCATTCCCCCAGACCAGCAGCGCTTGATCTTCGCCGGCAAGCAGCTTGAGGATGGTCGCACCCTGTCCGACTACAACATCCAGAAGGAATCTACCCTGCATCTCGTCCTCCGTCTTCGTGGAGGTATGCAGATCTTCGTCAAGACCTGTAAGTTGCCACACCGCTGTGACGACCCAAACAGCTACTAATACTGCTTCCAGTGACCGGCAAGACCATCACTCTTGAGGTTGAGTCATCCGACACCATCGACAACGTCAAGTCAAAGATCCAAGACAAGGAGGGCATCCCTCCGGATCAGCAACGCCTTATCTTCGCCGGAAAGCAACTCGAGGACGGCCGCACCCTGTCCGACTACAACATTCAGAAGGAGTCCACACTGCACCTTGTCCTCCGCCTGCGCGGTGGTATGCAAATCTTCGTCAAGACCCTGACTGGCAAGACCATCACGCTCGAGGTGGAATCAAGCGACACTATTGACAACGTCAAGTCGAAGATCCAAGACAAGGAGGGTATTCCTCCGGACCAACAGCGTCTCATCTTCGCCGGAAAGCAGTTGGAAGACGGCCGTACTCTCTCCGACTACAACATCCAAAAGGAGTCCACACTTCA